AAAAAAACAAAACAGAAACATTTTTTGAAAAATGTTTGATATGTTTTATGCTTTTCTGTCAATTTTTGTTAAATTCAGTTTCGCTGCAGTTGGAATCTTTGCTTATATCATCCTGTCCCAATACAGCTGCAAAGGCAAAGGCTGACAATTTTTTTCCTCAGCAGAGCCATGCGCAAAGAGTCCTTGCTCTGGCTGCTACATGATTTGAAAAAAGAACTACCGGCTGCTTTGAAGACCTTGCCGCTCATCATCAAACTGCCCGCTTTGAAAGTGTCTCTACTTGCCTTTTCTAGCTCTCTTGTAGATTCGCTCATCCAGAGCACTCATCGCGATCTCGGCCTGAGGCTTGCTTTCCATGGGAACAGTTGAATCCAAAGCTTCCATCGCCCCAAGGGCAAGGGCCATCTCCTGCACAATGTATGGGCACAAAAAACAGCCACCACCTAATTGCCATGAACCCACTTAAATACAAGAACGAGGAACGCCAAACTCACGACTCATAAAATCTAAGTCTTAAAAAATCAAGGAGGCGAGAAAACAAAGGAGGAAGAGAAGGAATATCAAGACCGCATTGGCCACGCTATCAACAGTCAACAGTCAACAAATATTCCAACACGAGTCCTCGGTCTGTGACAAAGCCAACTGAATTGCTTGCCCGGATAGAGTCCGATCTTTCCAATTTAAAGCAGCCAGCGCACATTGCACCATAGCAAGGACTACTGGCAATGCCATGGCGTTGCCTGCCAGGTCCATCATGAGCGCTTCAGAAGGATGCCATTGCTACGCCAAAGGCATGGTCTCCATGCGCGCTGCCAAAATTTGCAAGAAAGGTTGGATTGGAAAGCCTTGCATGAGCAAAGCCTCTCGCCCAAGGACTAGGCGATTCTGTGCCTCACACCAAAGAACCATCCTTGGAAGCACTGTGCTCATGACATGCTTGCTGGAATCTTGTCTCCAGGTGTTCGAATTTCCTCGCACGATTGACTGAGACAAATCTCGGAACACAATGCACGGGGTGCATTGCTGCAGCAAAGACAAAGCGTCTTGCTCACGGTCACCCAAAGTCTGGTACCACTGATTGGCTGCCAATTTTGCTGGGACAGCTTGCCCCCAACGCACCCGGTGATTTTGGGCAAACTGCATGTGCTGCTCGACCCAACTCTGAGGGGGAGCGGGTGCTCCTTGTTTCTTCTCAGCGTCCTTTTCCCTTTGTTTCGCCCGCTTGTCTAAGCGCAACCCGAGTTCCAGTTGAACTGGTTCCGAACTTTCCTGGAAAAGGATCTGGGTCACACAACAACCAAGCAGCAAAGCCCGGAAGGTGGCAAAAGCAGCTGTCAAAGGCCTGGTAGTAAAGTCCAGAAACGGGTTCACGGCTGTTCGGACTAGAAGAACATAAATTCTCCTCCGGCGGGCGCTACATCCAAACTCGGCTGCATCTGTCATGCAGACCTGACTCTCATACCCCCGGGCGGAAGTCTCGGCCAAAAAGATGTCCATGTTGTTCATGTCCGTGCCCTTGCTGTCGTCCATGGCGTCTACATTCTCGAAAAGCACTAAGGGTGGGCATTTGCTCTGCAAATAGGACAGCATTCCTTGGAATGTCTGTGCGGAGCCTCCCCGACTGACCTGCTGAGACAGCACTGCGGAATCCTTGTGCTGGCAGGGGTTTGCTCGGCTCATATCTTTGCAAGATGTCCCTAAAACCAGGAGGTCTACTTGTGGCACCGGACACTTCTGCCCATGCGCGGCGCAATCCGCCACATCGCCTCCCAATTCACAAATGTCCACGAACAAACATGGACTGGCAGCAGCATGGCTAGCAGACCCGCTGTGACAGCATCCTTGGCACTTCTGTTGCTGGGCCGTTCCCCCTGTCAAATTTTGCATTGTTTCGGCTGCAAGCGCTGAAGCATTGGCAATCCATTTTCTTTTTTCCCCATCCTTCTCGTAACTAAAGGCATGAGTAAAGCAAAAAGGGCTCAGGCCTGGGAACGCCTTCACAGCACTATTGATGGCCTGCATGCAAAACACCGGGCCTTCACTACCAGAACAACACGAAGCCCAGGTCAAACATTTAGGGATCTTGGGCAGTCTACCGCTTGTCATGCCCCGACATGTCTCGAAGTTTTCTGTTGCAGCTTCCGCGAGCCAACGGCCACTCTGCACGCTATCAGCAGACAAAGTTCGGCTTTGCGCTTTTGCGCGCCAGGCATCAACGCTATCAGGGTCCACTGTTGGACGCGAGCGCAGTTCCCTCGGCATGGCTGCGGGCAGGCTGCTGACACAAGGTGCGCAAACTAACAACAATGCTTTGCTCATCTCCATTCCCAAGACTTCATGACACAAACTCATGATGTATAAAAGCATTTTACTGCCTGAACTATATGTGCCTTGCCAATTTGAACACGTCATCTAGTCTAAGATATTTCATTTCACTATGGACTACGATGGGACTATGAGTAACTCAAATGTGATAGTATAGTGCCATATGTGATGTCTACGTCTCCTTTGTTTGTCTTATTGCTGCTGCGGCTGCCAAACAGACAAATTTTTACGTCTTTCAGCTACAACAACGCCAACGCCAAGTGTGTTCCCTGAAGTCACACTTAGTTTGCTGCCCCATCACAGAAGACCCAAGCGTGAGTCAAATTGCCATCGCAAACATACTCTCGATGGCCAGCAGGCGCGTCTTTCTTGGTTAGAAGGCTTGGCTGATGGACTTGGTTTTGGCACAGGCGCTGCTGGCTGCACTGTGCCCGCAGGAACTGCTGGAGTTGTCTTCGGCACTGCCTGGGTTGTCTTGGGAACTGCCTTCGCCACTACCTTGGCGGCTGGCTTTGCCACTGCCCTACTTCCAGTCTTGGCCAAAGAAGCCATCTTCTTACCTCCTAAACTAGCCAAACGAGACGCAACTCCCTCATCTTCATCTCCAAAGCCTTCATCCTCTACGTTGTCTGAAGGGTCCGCCGGTTGCTCTTGAGGATTTCCGGTGGCACCAGTCTCTCTTCCAGCTGCCCGGCTTGAAGCCTCACCTGCTCCCACCGCACCATGCTGATGAAGCATGGCCAGAACAGAATCCAGGTTGAAAGGAACTTCTGCTGCAACAGCCTTGCTGGTTCTTTCACGGCGGGCTTCCTGCATGGCATTGCTGACGGCCTCCTTCTTGTTCGCCATGGCCTCGGCATTGAAAAGGTCTTACTCTCCGTCATGCTCTTCTGTCTGATGGGACACCACCGTCCGCTCGAAGTCCTTGACCTTAAAATGGCCAGTTTGCCCGGTCTGGACGTAGGCTCCACGCCTGACTTTGCCAAAGATTTTCGTCTCCACAATCTTTGCCTCCTCCAGTGGGCCGTATTCAGGCTTCCAGTTGTCCACCTCAACAAAGAACATGTCAGGGGCTTCAAACTCGCAGCCGTGCTCGTCCTTGGTCACCAGTTTCTCCTTTGCGTCCCGGACAGAGTCCTTCTCATCTGCATTGCGGAGCCTGTGCTTGTTTGGGTTTGCATTGTGCTTCTTGATCCATTCGTCCAGACTGGCCAGGAAAACGGCATGGTCAATTCTCTTCTCTGCGATCATCTTCACATATTTGGCTATGTTTCCGTACTTGTGGGAAAAGCCTAAGAGCTTCCAGACATTCCGGCACAAACTACACAACTTGGACTGGGGAACCCGGTACGTGACACCAGAGGCCTTGTCAAAGACTTTCCTGTAGGAACTCCATGGCCTACGGCTGCCATGCTTGTCATGCGGGTGGCTGCTTGTCAGGGGGCTTTCTGAGACACTGGTCTTCTGGCACAAAGCGCAGGTACAAGGCTTGCTCAGATCAAAACTGATCTGCTCTGCTACCGGTCCAGATGCCTCTGAACCCTTGTCATCAAAACCGCCTTCAGACAGACCTCCAAAGTCTGACCCTGGAAGACTGGCCATTTGCCAACCCTTTGGGTTGCAAAAGCGAAAGGAAAACAACTACAACTCACAGAGCCTAAGCAGGAAGGACGACCTCTGGCAGACAAGCCTAAGGAGTCGAGACAACCAGGTGGCAACTCAGGAGCTTCAGGCTTTCTCTGCACAGAACCAAGTTCGAACTGCTAACTTCAAGCAGCAGCTGACAACTGCAAGGTTTTGCTGCACGAGAGTGCCTATCGCGCACTGTTCAGGTGAAACTTGTCTGCTCTGTCTCTAGTCAGCTCTGGCAATGGGCTAAAACCAATCCAATCACCTCGGAGCAGGCTGGAACAGAATTGTAAATCTACATGTTTTTGGCGAAAGCTATTTTCATCTTTTTTGATATATTTTTATTTTTTTGAATTTTCAAACTTTTTTTGAAAAACCGGAATCTCGCACTTAACCACAAGTTAAGTGTATGAAAACAGGAGATAAGTGCATGAAAACGGAAGATAAGTGCATGATTTTCAGAAATGAAAAACTCTTTGTTTTCTTAATTGTTTTGAAAATTTATTTTTTTTAAAAAAAAACAATAAAATATCAACATATCTGATAATGTTACTACTTTGGGTTGCCTTTGGCAAAACCTCCCCGCAAACCAAAATCCAAACCAACATGATCACCACTACTTGTTTGATTGCTGCAAAAGGATAAGAAGAAGACGCTGTATCTGACTGTACTGTCGAAGAGGTCAAGGATTGGAAAGAAACCTGGGTGATATGAATGTAGATCTCAATGGTCCATCGTACTTGAAGATACTGCCACCGCTCGCTACCAAAGATCTATCGCGAATATATTTCGAAAGCTAGGTCACAACCACAAGCAAAACTTAAACAACGTCAGAAACTATAAAGCGGAAAGTCACTTCAAAGGACTCAAAGACTTGAGGCAGTATATTGTCGAATTTTCTCGTCCATCTCTTCTTCTGAGGGGCCTTCGGCAAAAGCTTGTAAGCCAGGTCCTCCCATGGCCACATGATCTGACCGAGCGTTCTGGACAGAAAGCTCTGTATCATTGAGCCCGGCTAGAAGCCACCGTTTCAATCGTAATATGCAAGCGCTGTGGCTCAACCGGCCCATGCTCAAAGCTTTCTTGCACCTCGAGCCACTTCCATCTCCTCTGTTGTGGTGCAAGCCGCAAATGGCTCCCCAGCCGGTTTGTCCTCGCGGCACAATGGGCGACAGCAACAAGGGTCCCCCAACGAACCCCCTCGCTTTTGTACCACTCTCTTTAACTTCGCGGACTGGACAGCCCGGCCAGAGGCCGCGTCAACAGCAATGCCTGCAGACGACTCCGTGGAGCTTCCCTTGAAACCAAGCTCGGGACTTGGCGAGCCTCGACCAACGGCCGAAACGTCAGCGGCAGAGTCTGAGCCGCAACTGCGCCCAGATTCAAATCAAGGGCATCCATGGGTCCTGGTCCTCTTCACCGGCACTGCCAGCCCATTCACTGTTTTCAGACCAGCTCTCCTCAGACAAACGGAAAGGCGAAAGTTCTCCTTACTCATCGCAAGGCATGGCAATTTGTCGCGCTTTCTTTGTGCTGCCGCTGTCACAACAGCAGTGCCTGGCCGATGTCAAATCTTCAATGCATTTTCGCTTAGCATTGTCAGATGCATTCGGATCAGCCAGTGGCCATAAACGCCAAGGGTAGCATAAAAATGGCTGCACCAATTTTCTCAAAAGCTGTCCCAAACACACGACAATAGCTCGACGAAGCATGCGCTTCCTTTCTTGGCTCCACGTCTCGAATACACCAAAGAAAAAGCACATGGTGGCAAGCTCGGAGGCAGGTTCCAAAAGAATTTGCATGAGACTCGCAGCAACAAGCAGTGCAGGGTTCCTTTCTGGCACGCAAAACTGCCCCACTCTGATCGGTTGATCAGGGGAATTCTCGGGCCTATCACAACACCAAGTTTCTGTCTTGAAAAGCTTCCAATGCAAACTCATGATGGGGGACACCGTGTGCAACCACAGCATGTTTGAAAAATTTGCAGCCTCATCTAAAAACGGCTGCCGGAGTGGAATCCAAAATAGACAGCTCTTCAGATGTGTACAGTCGAGGTCCCTTTATGGCCGCCATGTTTCTACAGTTTTTTGGATCCTGTTTTCGGGGCCATGATGAAGCAGGCTTGTCGCCAAACACTAAAGTCTTTGGCTGCTGAATGTCTTGTTGGCGTTCGTTTGGGGCTGCTGAATTTCTTGACTCCTGTCTGCGTGGACTGATTGTTTTGGTTGCTTGCATTTGGTGCAGGTGGCTGTTTGTTTTGGACTGACGTCGTTGACACACTTCCTGGATCTGGGTTGGTGGGTTGGTGCCTAGAAAGTGTATTTTTTGTTGATACGAAAACAGCTACAATTTTTATCCCGCACCCACTGTCGATTTGGGAATAGACCGAGCGTAAAACTTTGCACCGCTAAGTTGTGCCTTGAAAACCAAAACAAAACCTATCGCGATCAAAGTTACCCAAAGGCTTTTCCACAAATAAACAAACGTGAGTCAAACTTTCCGTGCTCCCTCGCTCAAATCACTCCAGACAACAAGCAACGCTTCAACACACACTCTGTTTCTCTCGCTCGGGCTTGAGCCAACGAATGTCGTTGGGTGTTCAGTTCAAATACTGTTTAAAGGTGACAAAAACCAAGGAGGGGGTTTTGTCTAAACTGCAAACTGGATTCCAGTCTTGACGAAATTCCGAAAAGCGATCCACTGAGGATCAAAAGCTTTCATTCGGTTCTCAAACTGTTGAAATGTTTCCAAACTGTTCAAATAATGTTCGGTTTCCTACAAAAACATCACAACTCTCAACTACAAAACGAGACGAGTGCAACCGCAGTGTCGGTTGTGCTCGTTGAGCGTCATGAGATGCTCTATGAAGCATCGATCATCCAAAAACGTCCAAAAGTATATCTTCTACAGATGATGTTCGGTCAAATCAAAACTACAAACTACGATCTGTCCATTCACAATCGTTCCAAGTCAAAATAGGCTCGTCCATAGACGATACTTGGTGAAATCAAAACTATGCAACGTCACTGATCTCTCAGCGCTATACCAGGTAGGATTTTCACACCCCCTTTCGATGAGAGGTCAGTATGGAGTCTTCGTCCAATACGTAGTGCAGTCAATGCAATGCAATCCAGAAAGTCATGGCGTCCCATCACCATCCAGAAAAATCTAATCCTCTGACATACCTGCAATAGAAGAAGTTGACGAAGCAGTTCTTCGCTGACGAGGTACTGAATCTCCGAATAAAACCTGTGTAGAATGTTCCATTGTACAACATGCAGTGCACCTTGCATATTCAGTCACCAGTAGACTCTTGAAAGTACGACAAAATCGGGTCAAATGAAACTTCTGTCCTTGTTCAGAAGCAAAAATACATTGCCCAATCTCAAAAGTCGAAGATGAAATACGGCAGATTTCACAAATTGTAAGCCCTCTCTTCACATTGTCCCAATCTGGATAACAACGACAACGGCGATCAAGATGATAACACCTCTCCGCAGTTCCAATGTACAAATGATAAGAAGACGAAGTCTGAGCTCTGTGCATTTGTCTGAAGTCTGACGTCTCATCCGATGTAGCCTGAGTATATTCAGCCTGAATTGTCGCATCCCTCAACTCTGGACTAACTTTCTCAATAACTGTCTTACGTTCCAGTGCTCCACAAAGCCAGAATATAACTGTCCCCAAAGATCCAATCATCACTCCAGTCAATGCAGAAAATAGCACCACAATGAGAAGCTCATCCATGGCTGGCGAACGCGGCGCGGCCGGCCCGGGCTACAAGAAAAAGAAAACACACACACAACAGAACAAAACAACTGGAGTGTGAGCGTCCTGATGCGAGCACTCTCTCAACGGAGTTGATAGGCTCCTGAAACTAAACTGGTGTCATCATCTGATTCCTGATGACAAAACCTGAGAATTCACTTAGTGAAGTCTTTACTGAAAACTGTGCCTGACAATCGAATGTCCCTGAATCCGCTGTGAACCATGCAAACATGCAAATTCCACTGAACGGTTCAGCTGAAAAAGAAAACTGTACTTTCCTGAAGTCAAACTGCTGACATGAAATGCAAACTGATGCAAACTGCAGTCAATAACAAACAGAATCACGATGTTTCTTCCTGTTGATCAATCCAACGAAGTGCAATAGCACGACAATAGAATCTGGCAAACTTATATGAGTATCTTTCCGTCATCGAATAGTTGACCTGATTCAA